TAGAGCTTACTTCCAGGAAAATGTTGTTAGGATTATGATGCTATTCTTTCCAGATGTCATCAACAAACTGCAGTTTATTTATGATGGGCACAAACGTGTTTGCTTGTTGAGGATGCATGCGCCCTTCCTCCTACTCCTTTCTTTCACTGCTCATCCTGTATGCTGAGATTCAAGGCAAAAGTCTTCAGCTAACTGAAAGGCATTGCCGGTGCCTGAATGCGAACAGGCTGAGGTTTGCATTCTCAAGCAAGATCAAATCATGGTTAAGAATACCAGTCTTTAGGATTCTTACATGCTTAATAGGCGGCATGCTCAAATTTGTTAAGTTACATACATGCTCAATGGGTTAAGGTACTCATATTGATCATTGTGACAAATTGGAGTTAGTTGAAAACATCTGTGTACAACCTCTGCATACTAGTCTGACAAACAACTAGGTTCCCACCTGTCACAAACTCCATTTCCCCCAATGGTATTTGAATGCATCCACTGACATTACCTCTTTGACTTGCTTGATCCCAAGAGAATAAAGAATTGTACTAGGTTTATTACAAATAATTTGTATCCAGATACACTGTATTTCTAAATGTAACAACAATATGGCAATGTGTGTAGCATAGCCAGGAGATCTGAAGATTGTCGGGCAGCCTTAAGTTCTAAACCTTTAGCGTTCGGCACCAGTAAAGTGGTGAGCTAGACTGGGGGGGGGGGGCTGAGAGTGCTCTGAAAGAGCTGTGACTGACCCAAGATCATACAGCTGGCTTCATGTGGAGGACTGTGGAATCGAACTTGCTTATCCAAATTAGAGACTGTCGCTCTTAACCACTACACCGTGCTGGCTCTAAATCCAGTATCCTACCTAAATAAGCCAAGCAGATCAGGTTTAAATTTCATCTTAGCTGTAACTCCACTAGGCCATTATATTTTTCTAAGCTGCATCTGACAAATAGGAATCAGGTTGACCTACTTTAAAATATTTTTAGGAGAACACACTGCATTTGAAAATACTTCATAAGACTGATAATGCATGTATTTATACAAGATTATGTTGTATGACATTTACAGCCCAATGTATGACCTTTTATAATAAATATATAAAAGATTTTTAAAAATTGCACAACTCCAGCACATACATTAGTTCCGCTACAGTGAATACCATTTTACCAGTGAGGTCTATACACTGTAGAGTCTCAAGAAATTTCTGTCCAGTAATTTGTGCTGATGATAAGTGAGTATTTTACACTGTCTTCTGCATCAGTATTACACGACTTGTGTGAACCTCCCATGAGGAGTGACCTACGATATACGAGCCAGAGAGATGTAGTAGTTCGAGTGTAGGACCTAGCCCTGAATTAAGCAAAAAACGCATGTGGAGAGGGCACCAAGGGAAGGGGGACACCACAGAGTTGTGAGTTTTGTTGCTTATATTGCTTACTGCTATTTAGTGTTAAATAATTTGTTTTTAAAATTTTTTAGTTAATATAGCTCTGGGGTCTGGCCTGTAAGAAAATGGAATGTTTAATCTCTTATTTCACCTTTAGCATTTATTGAGTCTTAATGTCTTGCCAGTAGGGGTGTGCAATTTTTTTTTACCAGTTATTTTGTGGTTTGGGTCTATTGGACCTGAATTCTTTTTGGGATTCCTGAAGAATCTCGGATCCAAATAGCGGTATAGTATTCGGATCCAGGATTTTTCGGAAACCCCGAAATTTTTCAGGTCCAATAGACCTAAACAGGAAAATGCTGGTAAAAAAATACCAGCCTGAACCTGGGGTTGGCTTGGCCTCTCCTTAGCCCAGTTTAAACTGAACTGCAGGAGAAGGCAGTGCAGAGTTGTGCCAGTGGGGAGCAATTGGCTCCCTGCGGGCACAGCCGATCCTGGCTAGGCTGCCCCCTCCTGCTGCCTGTTTAAACTGGGTGACTGAAGGCAGGGCTGAGCTGCGCCAGTGGGGAGCTCTGAACCCCCCACCAATCCATCTGATCTTGGGCTGGCTACACTTGCAAGGCTGCAAGAGAAGCCAGCCACAGCCGAGGCAGCAGGGAGCTCTCAGCTCCCCGCCATCCCAGCTGATCCTTGGGCTGACTTCTGCAGTCCTTTAAATCTGCTCCTCCCTCTCCGCTGTTTTCAGATCTACCCGAAATTCCCGAATATATCTGGGATTTTCTTAGGATTTTTTTCAGTTTTCCTGAGAAAACCAGATACATTTGAGATGCTGAAATATGCCCCAAAAAGTATTTTGGGGGTATATTTTCACTCAGGTAGACCCAAATGCACACCCCTACTTGTCAGTTAAGCAATGGGAGGGCTGAGGTACGCCACTGTCAGGCTGTGCTTAGGGCATCAGTTGGCCCTGGTAGGACCCGGATCCGGGAGATTCAGTACTTATCTGTGCCCTTTGTATGAGCACCAAGAAATGGCAGCTCACTTGGGAACACAAAACATATTCAGAATTTCCTAATAAGATAATCATGACTCAATTGCTGTAACCCAGATCCTGCCTTTCCCCTGAGTAATTTCTTTTTCATAATACCAATTTAAAAAAAAAACAATCAGTAAATTCCATTGGATTATTCTTGAGGGACTGGTGAGACTCTATCTTCTGGCTCCTGTTACTGCCAGGAGGACAGCCCAATGTGGATGTTACATTGCTTAGCTCTGATATCGCCTAAGCAAATGGATGATGCTTCATTTTCTGTAACTTGTTCAAACACCTTGAGAGAAGATTATTCTCCAAACATTGGTATTCATGAGCTGTGGATGTAAATTGTGCCCAGAGTGTTCATTTTCTTTTAAATGTGTTCTCCTCGTTTTGTAATGAATGGTGTCAAGTTATTGGTGTGAAGAAGCCGACTAGAGATTAATGAAATGACAGTCATGGATGCACAGACAAGCCCGTAAATTGTCAGAGGCAAGAGACACACCTAAGGGAGGCTTTCAAAGTACATAAAGCGTTCATTTACATTTCTGCCGGAAATATCTGACTTCCTCGACATCCATTTAAGAGTTAAAAATCAAAGTTAACTCTACTGGGCCAAGTATCTTACTCAACTGCAAGCCGTAACTCTTCCAAGAAGGACTCTTTCATTGAGTAGGAACAGAACCCAGCACTTTCCTGCATAAGCTAAATAACGTTTCTGAGAAAAGAGCAAGAGGGGAAGAGGAAGACGGTATATAACATTGCTACTATTTGAAGCAATTACTTTCTTTTGCAGCTTTATAGCTTTATAATGTAATTTCTGATGCCAATTTTCAGGAATCAAAGCTTGCGATCCCAGAGACCAGGGGTCGATTCGGGGGGGAACGTGGGGGATTGCAGTTTCCCCGGGTGAGGTGCGGGGGGCGGGGCACACAACGAAGCCCCGCCCCCTGCTTCCGGCCCCCCCGCTTCCAGCCCTCATTCAGCCAGGAGGAGGCAGGAGAATAGGGAGGGTAAGTTGCTTCCTCCCCGCCTCTCCCCACCCCTGCCTGCCTGGAGCCAGGGAGGGCCTTCACAGGGCTTCCTTGCACTCGCACTCCCGCCGGCCTTGCAATACCTTGGAGATTTTGGGGGTGGAGCCTGAGTGGTGGGTTTAGATTCAGAGGAATTAGCTGTGTTAGTCTGTTGCTGCAAAATAGTCCAAGAGTTCAAATAGCACCTTTAAGACTAACAAATAGCACCTTTAAGACTAACCTTTAAGACTAAGACTAACTGAGTGGTGGGTGTGGCCTTATGACACACTTCCGGTGATGTCAGGGGGTGTGGCATATGCTAATGAGTTATGCTAATGAGTCCCCCTAGCTCTTTTTCTATGAAACGACCCCTGCCAGAGACACTTTCCTGGAAGTAAGCCCCACCAAGTAGACCCATTTAGGATAGCTTCCTAAATTTCTGTTTCTGGTCCTCTATTCCAAGTTCAGTCACTGGAAAACACAGTCCAAAGATTATAAATAACATGGAGAGATCCTAGCCAACCCCCTAGAAAGCTGCTGCCAGTCAAAGATAAACTGACCATTGGTCTAACTGGGTATATGACAATTCACTTATTCCTGGAGGCCTCATGGTTATAGAAGAAGGTATAAATGTATGTAGATAATGTCTTTAAAATGGTAAGAACTTGCTAGAAGCATTAAAAAATAGTATACATGAAATCATGACCTTTGGTGACAAAGCAGCTTAAACAAACTGATTGTCCTTACTCCAAAGACCGCTTCATATTTCTTACATTCAATGGTTCCAGAAACTTGCTTCAGGATATTTTTGACTGCACAAATCAGGCTTACATGGTGGAAATGAACAAAATAATGTGTGTAAAGTGCTTTGAATGCTGAAATGTGAAGCATATTAAATTTGTATAACTCATATGACCTGAAAAAGAGCAGTCAGTTTCCACCTGCAGAAGATCTGATCCAACTTTAATATGCAAATTTCATGATGAGCACACTAATAATAGACATACCAGGCTCAGTAAAATGAGAAAGAATATAAAGTGAGATTAAAGTAAGAACACACTCAACAAAATATGGGAGAGAAAGAAACATTCCAGAAGAAATTTGATAGGTTTGAAAATGGAGTCTACATTCGCCAATGTTCAGAGGCCCCCCTTTTTTCCCCTGTCAATTTGCAGCCAGCTTATGGCAACCCCGTAAGGTTTTCAAGGCAAGGAACGTTCAGAGGTTGTTTACCATGGCCTGCCTCTGTGTGGTGACCCTGGTATACCTTGCTTAGCTTCTGAGATCTGACAAGACTGGGCTAGCATGGACAATCTAGGTAAAGGTCTCTATACCCTTCCAGTCATCTAGATTTAGCATAGTGAGGGCATCTTAAAAACCATGACACATGAAGAAAATAATTCCCACAAGCTAGTATTTTCTGTGTTTTTTAATAGTGAGATGAGGTTTTACCAGGAATTGCCCGAGTTTGTTTCTTAACATCACTTTGCAGGCACCTTGTTGCACCTGGAATTGTCCACTGGAGAGAAACATCATCTGGAAAACTAGCAGAAGTAATAAGGCAAAGACTACATAGCAAACAGAAACCCACCCACCCCCAATTATACCCATGAAGATTTCACTGCCAGGTTGCTTGTCTAGAAGTAGATTTGCTTTCTTCAGTATCTTCTCTTGGCCTCCTTTGGGCAGAGCACCGTTCTTCAGGTCTGTAGGCCACTCTTTGCTGTTATGCCAGCCTCACAGTCTTCCTTAAGCATCATCAAGTTTTGCACTAAGCTGTGCTCTGCCCCATGAGTCACTGTCATGATGTCGTAAGCCTATAGTAAAGAGAAGAAGAGAAGCAATCCATGTTCCAGTTTTAACTGGTAGGTCCTTGTCCCCTTTTTATGGTTTGTTCCTGTATAACTCTGGAAAGCCTCGCATCAGTTTAGCCTTCACCTGCATCCCTGTCCGTAGCAAATATGAGATCTGTGCGGTCAAGAGAAGGAATTTTTCTGTAGCATACATTATGGCCCCATTACATTCATGGTTTGTTTGCAACCGGAGGAGAAAGCATTTTAATTTACAGATTGTTTTTCATATAGAATAACCTAGCTGTGGTTTACTTCTGCTGCAAAGTTTGAAATTTAATTGTTATTTGTTCTGTATGCCATTTCATCACTGTTACGAGGTTTATTATGCTATGGTTTACTGTCTATCAGCTTGGTAGAGATTGCAGTATAAAAGTTTTCAACAGTGCTCAAAGCAGTAGAATTCTTAGTCTTTTCACCAGGTCTTCTATGTTTACATTAGAAGCCCAAGCAATGATGTTGCATACAGAATATGCATGAAATTAAGGGAGTTATTGCTTGAACTTGGGAAACAGAGAAATTGGAGAACAAAAGGGAACCAAGAAAACACTGCAGAAATCTGCTCTCAAGACTAGTGACAGTGTGCCTGATTCCCTGCTGTCCTTCATAATATTTTGCAAAATATCATAGTGCCCCCCTCCCCATGCCAATGATAGCCAATTATATGGAGTGTGAGTGGAGCAATACAGAACATTTTGATAGCAGGACACTGGTGACTAGACACTGCATTTATTTATTAAAATATTTAAATCCTGCCTTTCATCGGGTTCAAGGTGACTTACAAGTCATAATTGAAAACATCAGAATTTAAAGACAACAAAATAAAAACCTCAAATGACCCCTGACTCATAGAGGGGGCAAAGAGAACTAAACACAAAACAGCCGATTTCAGTTTGGTGTGAGAGCCAGTTTGGTGTAGTGGTTAGGAGTGCGGACTCTAATCTGGGAGAACCAGGATTCCCCACTCCTCCACATGCAGCTGCTGGTGTGACCTTGGGTCAGTCACAAGCTCTCTCAGAGCTGTTCTTTCAAGGGCAGTTCTCTAGAGAGCTCTCTCAGCCCCACCTACCTCACAGGGTGTCTGTTGTGGGGAGGGGAAGGAAAAGGGATTGTAAGCCGCTCTGAGACTCCTTCAGGTAGTGAAGGATGGGGTATAAATCCAATCTTTTCTCCTCTTCTTCTTTCAGAGGCTGCCAGGCATTTAATATGACAGACAGCTTGGCCTTGTGTATGGGTTAAGCAAAAAACACCTGTGCGGTAACATGCCAACATATATATTACAATGGCAGTGTGTAGAAGCCATAACACAAAAAGAATTCCAACCTTACTCCACGAAATGACAGTTTCCACAACATTGAATGCTAGTTCTTAGAATCAAGATTTTCTTTCATTATTTAAGGATCTAGTTTTATTATGAAAAAGTACTCTGAGCACACACAAAACAAGGCGTCATATCCCAAGCCAATCACAGTTTTTCACTAAAAAAAAAAAAAAACACCCCACAAAAAACCTCTCATTAGATGATCAGTATGCATGTGCTTCCGAATGCACAGGGAAGTCCAACATATCCCTTTGTGTCTGATTTGCATTGGGTGCCTAACATCAGAACAATATGCAAATGTACTGCTGCACCACTCAGTCATGATGAAAGGAGGAAGCAAACTTCATCATGCTGATAGCCTACAAAGTGAAGGGCAGAAGAGTGGGGAAACAATTTCTGTTTCTCCTTTGTCCCTTGATTAAAATGAATGCCTGTTAGAGACGGCAAAGGAAGGACAAATGCCTAGAAAGTCACACTTATTTTACTTTAATCGCACATGCAGTTAATAATCCACATGCAAGCAGGGAAGAATCTGTTCAAATGAAACAAAGCTACAAAGGTTCAAGCACCATTCTCGAGTGGAAAGGCTTTATATTTATATTGCCTCGTGCTTTTTCCACTGCATGGGATCAGTGGAAAATACAAGATATCGATTTTACATCAGGCAATGTAATTTATTGTTGTAAACTTGGATTTGCTTAGAATCTAACTATGTGATATAGTACAGTCCTTGTAAGCCAGAGTCTTCCTGTCTTGCTAGTTTTCTGTGTTTAGGTATTTTTTTTCCCATTGGAGAACTACCTAATATGAACCCCCCTGATGCACTTTGGAGTGGTACAGCCAGGGCTATTTTTGGACAGGAACGCACAGGAACGGAGTTCCGGCTGGCTTCAGAGTTGGCCACGCCCACTATAGCCAAAACCTCTGCATGCGTGGCTACAGAGGGAAGGCCTGGAGAGCGACCCCCCCTGGCAACTCCGAGGTGGGCAAGCTGGGGTGGTGGTGGAAGGATCGGGGAGGAATTTAAATGCCTCCCCGTGCCTTCCCCGGCCTGTGCAAAGGCTGACTTGCCTGGGCTCCCCGCAGCTGCGGGGCACCTGGGCAAGCCAAGGGAAGGCATGGGGTGTGGCCTAATACGTTAATGAACTGCAATATCAGGGTGTGGCCTAACATGCTAATGAGTTTCTGCTGTTGGGTGTGGTCTATTATGCTAATGAGTTCCTGCTGGGCTTTTTCTACCAAAAAAGCCCTGGGTACAGCCCATGTTGCACTACAATACCTCTTCTTCACATTATAAAGCAGCAGGAGAAAAAAAGATATATGAAATGGGTGCAGGTCTCATTTATGTTCGTGAAGCAACAGGAAAAGAATATGGGAATCTGTCTTGTTATTTAGGATTTCTAATATAAATATGGCATCACACATAGTTCAAAGCCTCCAATACCAGTGATTCTACAATAGGAGATGAGACTGACCCACCCAATTGATTAAAAGAGCCTTGTCGGTGGAATATTGTAAAACTGGGGTACAGAGGACTCATGGGGCTCATTCCACTAGCAGATTAATTTGAATGCAACTGAAATGCACTTTTTAAAATCAGGATCTGGCAGAGTCCAGGCCTCAAGTGATCAGGATTTGATAGAAGCCAGTCATCAGCCCAAAGAGTCTGCAGGTACATTTCAGACCAAGCTCCAAAAGAAGCAACTGAAGATCAAACTGTCCATCAGCAGGCAATGGTCCAGGGCAGGCAGGAAATCAGGCTCCAAAGGCAGCAGTGTGGGGGGAGGGAGCAGGAGCTGAGCCTGGCAGAGCTCATTCCATTCAGACAAGCTGCTGGGACTGATCCCTCTCCAAGGAAGGAGTTTTGACCTTGGGGTCAACTGACAAGTGTTAAGCCAGCTGACTGAGCGCTAAACCGGGGTCAGCTGAGTGCTAATTCAGCTTGTTTTGCAGCTTCCATGATACCCTGGAGGAACACAGCTCAATCTGCAAGGCTTGTGGTTGGATGGAATGAGGTCTGTTGGCAGAGGATGTCAGCAACAGGAACTAGATTCACAGGTCACAGAGCGCGTTTTGTTTTTCTAAACAATTCTCCTTTAATTACTAGGATTCCTAGGAGAGTCACATTTGATGTTATTATGATCTACTAGTGGAATAGTGCAAACCTGTTTACTTCTGAAGGCATGCTGGATATGAACATGTCTAATCACAAACCTTTAAACCTACATCCAGGGCAAAAGTATTGACTTGGACAGATTTCCACCAGGATGAGAACTTCACTCTACACTTAAAGCACAGCCCCATGAATCTCAGTAGCATCATGGCAGACATGGGGACATAACAGCAGAAAAGGATGCTACAAGAACCAAAAAGCCACCTGCAGTATAACATGTACCATGATTCAGTAGAAGGAATCAAAATATGTAATGTAAAAACAACACTAATATGTAATGCAAAAGTTGATCATATTTATAAGAATATACAAATTAGTCCTCATTCCTCATACAGCAGGCAGTTATATAACCATTCCACAGCACAAAATATATAAATCATAATTTCCTAATGATTGGAAGCTCTTAACATGAATTAAATCAGAAATAGGTAAAGGTAAAGGTTCCCTTGCTCGAAAGCCAGTCGAATCCGACTCTAGGGTTGCGGTGCTCATCTCTGTTTCAAAGCCGAAGAGCCAGCGCTGTCCGAAGACGTTTCCGTAGTCATGTGGCCGGCATGACTAAACACCAAGGCGCACGGAACGCTGTTACCTTCCCACCGAAGTGGTCCCTATTTATCTACTTGCAATTTCTTGCTTTCGAACTGCTAGGTTGGCAGGAGCTGGAACTAGAGACAGGAGCTCACCCTGTCTTGCGGCACCCGGGTCTTGAACTGCTGAACTACTGACCTTCCACAGCCTGCAGTTCAGCGTCTTAACCACTTGAGCCACCGCAGCTCCAAATCAGAAATACTGTGAAGCAATTGTTGTATGAATCTTCTACCACAAAATTAATAAAGTCTAACAGCAATTGGAGTTCTAATTATTCTCTTTTCTATTGTACTAGTCCAACTGAATCTTATAATCAGAAGGTTTTGCTGGTCCTGGGAATTTATTGTATATGTTGGCAGATATGTGACATGTGAATTTATAATAAATTCATGGGATGCTCTCTGGATAAGGCAGCATGTTGAGAGGAGTTCAGCTCAATGTGGTATTTGAACATTTTATAGGAGGGTTTTTATTGCAATATGTTTAATGGATTGTTGTTTCAGTGTTGCTACTTATCTCTTGGAACAAAGTGGATTAATGTTTTAAATAAATAAAGTGAGCATCAGTCATATAATAATGCAATAAAGCACATGCTTTATTCATAGTCTAAGTTACCAAATATATCATTCCTCCCAACAAAGTTACACTTTATCGTTAACCTGAATCTGCTTGGGAATAACTAGAAATACTAAGAAGACTGAACTTTGACAAACTCACTCTTTTTTGGATGATCCTAAAACCTATTTTGCACTTGATACCACTGTAATTCACCTTGCAAAGTTGACAGTGCTAAATGTGATACAGCTGCTATTGACTTCCATTCACAATGACTTCTACAAGAAGTAGAAATTAAAAATTTATGGGAATTCCTATTGCAAGTTTTCAAGATCAGATCTTTAAAATGGAGGGTTCACCCCACCTGGCCCAGAAATACCTGTTGAAAATCAGATTTTGTTTTCAAGATCAGTGATGGATCACAATATTAATCAAACTCCACATTTTAAATACCATCCTTTAATGACACCAACCCATCTGTTCATGATTCTTTCCCCCCCCTTTACAGTTTTTTATGTCAAAGTCCCAGCCCTAGAAGCTTGAAACAATGCAGAATTTTGGATTTCAGTGCAATTCTACTTTCTGTCAGATCCATAAGCATCACTGCAAGGACATGCCTTGCCTGTGTCCACAAACAGTGGAATATGTTTATTTTTTCCTGTTCTTTATTTTGTCTTAATCTGTCTTCCCCCATTCAAGTAGATGCAAGACATAACAGATACCCAAGAATGAGGATGAGAAATAGAATCAGGCACTGAAAGAGTCTTTCCTTCCTCCAACTTAATAGCTATTTGCCATTCAAGGTTAGGAGGTGATTAATGATACCCCCTAGCAACTGAACAGTAATTACCAACAACTGATATTAAAGGAAGTCAGCCCTGGAAATGGTGCAAGCAGCAATGACCCATCACCTCACTTTGAAGCTGTTGCCTAAGGAAATAGTGTCACTAAAATGGAGTGAGAACTGGAGCCTGGCATTTAAAAAGTGTAGGGGGGGAGGGGAGATGAGCTAGAAAGTGTGGGAAATATTTGGCTAGGGAAAATGGCAGCACCACAAGTGGGAATACTGACCTGCTTCAAGGTTTCCAGAGCCTGAGGAAACATGTCCTGGCTGTACTGCAATTTGGCCACTCGCATCAGCTGGACAGCTCTCAAAGGATGGAATCCAGAATAATAAAACCTGGAAAACATGGAGGAGAGAAAAATCATAGCATCTTTGTCAGCTCTCACCTTCACAGCTCCAACCTCAGTGGAGAGCTATTAGGGTGGGTCATCAAAGCCATTCTGAATTTTAATAAGGTATTCAGAGAAAATTAGCTGCACTACGGAGGAGCGTGAAATACTGAGGAGAATTAACAAATTATTATTTTCTGTCCCCATAGAACAGCTTTTACATTATCCTGTTAGAAAGTGACAGGGGTGGGATTAATTCGAACACCTCCGTTAGGCAATACAATAGCACTGACTGCACTTAAGTGTTAAACAAAGAGGTTTTCAGTCTCAGTAGCACTAGGGAGATTCTATTTTCACAGGAGATTTTCAGTATGGAGCCCTAATCCCCATTCTTTGTCAGAGAATAGTGTAGGTACATGGTATACAATACGTATGTGAATTATAGTCAGAGTTTTGATTTTGAACGTCACTTGTGGGTTACCTGTTTTTAAAATACAAAAATGTGTCTACAATATGGCTGAGTATATGCAATGTCTGGAAGATCAGACCCAAACAAACAAGATCAGACCCAAACAAACTGGAGCAGTGCAGTGGATAACAGTGAGAAATGGAATGTTCCCAGTTCAGATTTCTATTGGGCTTGAACACACTACAAAGTTTTGGCAAGCTACTTTTTTCTCAGCCTCCCATTTGCAGTATGAGGGTAACAGTACTAGCTAATCTTACAATATTCGAGATGCCTTTAGTGCTTCTTCACACATTTTTTTTCACAAAGAGGGAAAGCAAAGTCAGAAACAGGCCTATATGCCATGAGGTACTTCTGGTTATGGAATTTCATTCTGGGACAGCAATCTATGCAAATTTGAAACTAATGTCATAGAATCATAGAGTTGGAAGGGACCTCCAGGATCATCTAGTCCAACTTCCTGCACAATGCAGGGTATTCACAAATGATCTGCCTAAATTCACTGAATCTAGCCTCTGTTTATAAACCTCCAAAGAAGGAGAGCCCACCACCTCCCATGGAAGCCTGTTCTACTGAGGAACCACTCTGTCAGGAAGTTCTTCCTAAGGTTTAGCCGAAAACTCTTCTGATTGAATTTCAACCTGCTGGTTCTGGTCCGGCCTTCTGGGGCAAATGAAAACAACTCCGCACCATCCTCTATATGAACATTAGCACTCTTGTAATACGTTGTCTATTTAACAGTCTCTGATAACTGACACCTCTTGCTCTGAATCATTGCATCAAAATGTCTGTGCTGTAGCAATCTTGAGTATGCTGTTCAGGTCTGTATCTGTAAGCTGCAAACTTACTTTTGACTTATTGACATTGTTTATAGAAATCTCCTGCTCAGTATTTTGAGCCTACGACCCAGGGGGAAACATGAAATGTCTCGGCATTGCAACCTTTTGTACATTAGTTGCTTCATGTGTTGGTCAAGAACATGAGAAGGCACCCTGACATAAAACTATAGTCTTCCCCAGAGAAATAACTACAACTTCCTACAAAGGAAATGTGCTGTGTGAACTTGGTCTGGACCAGGAGTGGCCAAAATTGTTTAACATAAGAGCCACATAGAATAAACATCAGATGTCTGAGAGCCACATACCATGAACAAATATTACACGTTTTTTGCTTTTTTATTAACATTAAAAATTACACGTTTTTTGCTTTTTTATTAAATTACACGTTTTTTGCTTTTTTATTAACATTAAAAATGAGACTGCCAAAAATAAAAACAAAAGGGGAAAAATAGATATTGATAATGATATTCATTTGTCCAATGATATTTGTAGGTGGGGGGGGCTTTGAGAATGCATTTAGTGTTAAAGTTGCTTTCTTTTTCTGCTCCCCCCTGCCTCAAGCCTACCCAGGAAGGGGAACTGGCTTGGGAAGGGAAGACCTATCGGGGAGGGGAAGCATGCCTCCCCTTCGCTTACCCAGCTGCCCTGCCGGAAGCCACACAATATGCGTGAAAGAGCTGCATTTGGCTCCTGGGCCACAGTTTGGCCACCCCTGGTCTGGACACACACTTTCAAACTAATCCACCTCACTAGCTTGTTGTTATTCCTCCTCTAAAATAGTTCACATTGCTTTCTTACTGAGAAAGACTGGATCATAAGGGCATTAATACAGTGAAAAGGGGGAGGGAACCCAGTTGCAGCCAGGAGAGCCTTGGCATAGAGAGCCCAACAACACACATACACACACTGTAGCAAGGTACACAAAAGCTCATACCTTGAACAAAGTTGCTTGGTATTTCTCCCATGCGATTGAGGCATCCCAGCAAAGCAAGCTCCCCCTTGTTTCTTCCCTCCCTTCAGGGAGGAGCCTCAGCCAGTGGAAGGAAAGAAAGGCTTCCCTTTGACTCTTGCAGCCTGGCCAGGAAGCAAGTTCTGGCTGTTCAACCCCTCCCCCTGGGAGGAGGAGGGGGAGGAGCCTCAGCCAGTACTTTACCAGACTCTCTCATTCACACAGGAAAGGCTTGCCTATCTATCTTTCCTGTGCAACTGAGAGAAACTGGTAAAGCAAGCTGTGACGTGGCAGCAGCAGTAGAACTGGAAAAGGAAGCACGAAACAGCCAGGGCCTTGTAGGCCGAATTGGGGCCCTCTGAGGGCCTGATCCAGGCCACAGGCCACATGGTTAACACCCCTGCTCTAGGTGAGGTCTAACTAGAGCAGAGTAAAGCAATACCATCACTTCACAAGATCTGGACACTATATTTCTGTTGATACAGCCCAAAATGGCATTTGCCTTATTAACTATCACATCACACTGCTGACTCATGTTCAGTTTATGGTCTACTAAGACCCCTAGATCCTTTTCGCACATACTATTGCCAAGACTAGTCTCCAAGACAAGACATATCTGCATACACTTTTCCTCCAAGATTTGGCTTTAACAGCATAAAGGATGGAGGTAGACTGATAACATGTTATGCTTTCCTTAGCATTAATTTGATGGGGCCAGTAAATGCTCTGGCATTAGTACTGATTTACATTCACAAGGAGATGAAGACAGAGCTAAACTGCATATCTGAAGCAAAAGGAACACATGTAATGCCCTGGTGCCACTAATTACTTACAATATGTACTGGAAATGTCATAGTTTTAAAGGCAGTCACTTTATAGTTGCCTGGATTGGTACAGAGGTCTAAAATATTCACAATAGGTTTCATTTAGCAAAGGAAAATAATACATTTGATCAAACAGTAATCAATTCTTGCTAGCAATTCTTCATGCTAGTTAAAAAATTTTAAACCTATTTAGCTATAAAAGCGGGGGGGGGGACTTAGAAATTCAACTTTCTACAAAATGCAGTAGTAACCATCTGGAAGCAGTGGTCTCAGCTACATGCACATGTCAAAATGACTTCAGTGGTAAAAAAATCTCCAGAAACAGCAAGTAAAATGCAAAGACATCGGAAGATGATGTTAACAACTTGTTAAAAAAATGCTTGTTTTCTAGCTTTTCTTAAGATGTGATAGCTTGTAATTTGTCATTTTACCATGGAGGAGGCCTACCACAATATTATCTGAAATGTTCACACATTCATATCCATCACTTGATGACTACACCACTGAGAAGTTACTTGCATATGTGAATGAGCCAACACAGTTCAAGCACCACATGCAGAACTTTGTTATCTCCTTACATCCACCTGGTGGGGCCCTGTTTGAAAAGCTGGGAGAGAAATGAGAGATAGATAAATAAAAACATGTTTTGCAGTAGAGTTAATTCAGCTGCAAAACATAAAAGAAATAAAGTGATAAGAAATCAGATGATGCAAATGTATGTGTGAACTGGCCCTCTGCCATGTGAATATTGATATGGAAATCATTTACACTAAAAATTGTGTATATTGCCCTTGAGACTCATGGAATTCAGGAGAATCTGAGAGTTGCATTCATTCTCCAGGATTCTTTGTGCTCAAATGATTTTATCAGCTGAAGTTCATCTCATTAAAAAAAAAAACCTGCAGTTTATAATCAGCCAAACAATAACAGGCTACAGAGAGGAAGAATGAATAATGTACAGTTTGCCTTGGGGAGAAAGAACATCTGAAGGCACAGATCGTTCACTGAAGCAAACAAGTAGATAAAGCAACCCCAAACACCACAATCAACTAAATCCTAAACAAGCAAGCAGCACGTCTTTCCCTGACAGGGGGTGACACTGAATGGACATGAAGGTGACACTGCCTGTAGATTCACCTACTGAATTTCTGCTCCATATGGCAGGTAAAAGCTGTAGTGCCTGTGACAGGAGCAAAGCAGTCAGATCAAACCTCATCCATTAAGTCACTTTGCTGGTGTCCTGTCTGCACCCTGTCCACTCCTTCCAATTGGTAGCCTCTTCTAATGCTTCAGAGAAAGGGACAGTTTGGTCCCCACCCTCAGTACACAGGATTGAACTTATTTCAGAAGTAGGGTTAACAGGTCCCTTGGACCTGCCAGCAGGGGATGGGGGGTAAACTTACCGGGAGAGCGGAGGAATGCTGAAAATAAACGTGACATGCCTGCGTGACCCAGATGGGATGAAGGCACGTCGGGGAGCAGCACTCTGGTTTTGGGGCAAAATTCTATCATAGAATTAGCTTCTACCATAGAGTTTTGCCCAAAAGTAGAGTGTCCTCCCCAATGTTACTGACGTGCCTAGGTCACTTCTGGGTCACATAGGCATGTCACATTTATTTCCGGCTTCTTGCCTGTTGAGGGGGTAATGGGGGGGGGGCAGAGAGGAGTGCCCAAAACCAGGAGACTCCTGCCTGGACTGGGGGAGCGGTCTGGCATCCCTATTCAGAAGAGGAAACAAAGGAAGGGAGCAAACAGAAGATGTCACTGAACAGATCAAGATGTTCAGAAACTGCACTACATTCTGTCAAGGATAAAATGTATATCTAGTACTTCTATTTGAAGGGCTGTCACTTAGAGGAGAGAAGGGAGCTATTCCTGTTGGCAGCAGAGGATAGGACTCGAAATAATGGGTTAAAGTACTGGGTTTGC